ACCACACTCCCGTAGCAAAGCACGCACGCAGCGCCAGCGGAGTCGGGAGATGGCTTCCGGGTAGGTATCACGACCCTGCAGTCATTACTTCCGATGCCCCCCCCCTCCCCTGGGATGTGCCACGCTACTACAGCTGCGGACCCATTCGTTTCACACATGGCAGGGATCAGGATCTACGGATTCGAGTGTACAGTCCGCCCTCAAAGACCTACCCGCAGTGAGCTCGCAATGAGCTGAGCACTAATTTGAAAAGCTGCCAAGTTATTATAATAAAAATAGGAAATACCTTAGCCGTCGGAACAGCTGCCAGCTTTACACGCTTAGGTTTCGGCGTTTCTTCTGAATCATCTGCTTCAGGTTCATCATCTGCTTTCATTTCTAGATCTTCGACATCACGTAAACGAACTTTCTGCAATCAAATATGAGATCCGCTATAATCAGAACCATCAAGGTCACCATTACCCTTTCTGGCAGTGTCCACTCCTCTTCAGGTAGCAACTGAACAGCAACAATATCGCCATCAATGGCTCTGTTGCAGTTCAGCCCAGTGATGAACCAGGACGTCATCGTATTGGAATCCACCAAAACTGTCGCCTCACGATAATTTTCACGAGACACCTAGAAAAGAGCAAACACCGTCTATCTCGTATTACAGCTTAACTAGAATGGCCCGTCTTGCCAAGGGGAGGTAAACAGCAAAGCGTTAATGTACACTCCAGCAGTGGGTAGTGAGCATACTAACGAAATTACAGTGAAGAAAGTTGCAGAAAAAACCGCCTCGAAATGTTCGAGCGGCCCAGTTGGTTTTAAGACAAAAGGTGAATATTCACAATATGTGTGGGCCACATCTAGGAGGATTACGTTAGGTCGCAGACTCCTGGCGTTCTTACCATGTACTTAGCGAAATAACACTAAAAGGCACTGCGGAGCTTCACTTCGTATTCAGCTTGCTAGGGAAGGATTTCAGCTGATAGGCTATTGCGACGGTTGTTTTCAAGCGATATGACGAGCTTACGATGTCCCATATCACTCGGGATTGGGTAGGGGATCCGTAACTGAACGACAGTATGACGAACAGGGAACGATCTAGCATCAGAGCTGGAAGAGGCGAGGTTTGGAACATTTAGGAGCCCGTGGAAACAATCATGAAGATGATGAACAGCCGACTTCTCTTCAATTCTGCACTTCTTCCTCTAACTCATGCCTCAGAGATTTGAACTCCGCGAAAGCAAGATGAGCATGCGGTCACCGTCATTCAACGTGCCATTGAAAGGGCGATGCTCGGAGTTTCCAGTGCAAGTGAGAGAGGGAATCCGGAGCTCCGCACTCCGCCGATCGAAGATCAGAGACGCCGCCGCATTTGCCAAGGTTTCGAAGATCAGGTGGGCCGGACACGTCATGCGTTTCGAGACCAGAGCGATCACCGACTGGATTCCACGGGATGTCAAGCGAACGCCTGGACGACCGCCTATGCGATGGTCAGACTTCTTCGTGAAAGCTCTGAACGAATGGTATGAAGTTCATCGTGTCCCTCGAGCAGAGAGAGTTCATTGGGCAACTCTTGCACGTTGCAGGGACGAATGGAGACGTTACTGGCGCCCGCTCGAGGAACTCGATGATCAACGGGAGCACAGGGGTGAGGGAATGAAGAGACTAACATAGGTTCAGTATTGCTTCTCTCAACTGTGTGCATTTCCACACAGAAGAAAAAGACCGAACTTGATAAAAGCATTGGGAGCATGAGCACTCTGGGAAACGACAACGTTCACAAATCAACCGTAAATTCAAAAATCTAGAAAGTTTACAGTAATCCTCACAGAAAATTTCCCCTTCTTGATAGTTCCATGAGCAATGCCTTTGGTAATTTCGTCGTGAGACAAATAGTTCTCGAAGATGATTTTACCACCAGAACTCGACGAAGAAAATAAACAGTCACTAGAAACAATGGCCAACCTTGGACATAATCCTTAATTGTGAACGAGTATTCGTAGCTATTTTTCAACCTTGCCTGTACATCGTCTTCTGCGCATAAAATGATAGGTGTTATGCCTCGTTTCGCCCAATGTTTGTTTAGGTAATCGGCACAAACATAGAGGACTTTTTCACGACTGAAACTACGCCTTTGAAAAAACAACTTTGCAGAAGTACTGAAACGATGACGTTACCGTAGACTATCACTCAGGCCTGGCTCAGGTCGCACAAATGTCTTGTGATGAAACTCGCTCATGAATACCGAGAACCGTGGATCTTTGTCTTCATATACGAATTTATTCAATTTTTTATAGGTTTTGATAGATTTCTGCTTCACATACTCCCATACATTCTGCGTGATGATGATATTTCTGAGAAAAAAAATTATACTTTTCTGGATTGAGAAACGGGAGAAAGGAAAGAAGTCTGAGAGGGGTAGGTGTAAAAGGTAGTCAGAACACTGGAGCAGCTTCACCGTCCGGGATAGTAGGTCAAAATGGGCGGAGATCTCATGCCTTACTACTAGGCTCACTCTTTGAACCTGTCTTCGCAAGATAGACATGAGAAACTTAGAATGACAGCGTCAACGCATGAAAACGCCCATTTGACCCACCATCCTGAAGGTTGGAGCTGCTCCAATGTTCTGAGTAGTTTGCGGCAAACACGTCCTACCGAGGTGAAAAAGCTTGCAAACTATGACCCCCACCTGGAAAAATACCGACCTTCATCCCTTTAACCTCCCCACTTCTCCGCAGTCATTCTCGAAAAAATCGCCGTTGCCGTCGAAGAGCGAGAGGGAGCCTCGTTAGTACCATGGAAACCATAAAAGCAACAATCGGAAAGTTTCCCCACAAGGCATTTATGCCCCTCCTCTCCTACAGCAGCCAAGTACGAACCCAATCACTTGAACGTAAGACGTGCCCTATAGTTGTGCTATACGGACTCTGCCTTGTTTTGTCTATTTAGCCGCGCTCCTTCGAACTTCTAGATGAGTATATACGCCACTTTTCTGCTCGGTAAGAGGGTGTAGGCAAGATGATATGACGTGGTAACATCGCTCTGTCGTTTGGTCTACCCCCTCCACAATTATCTCCTCCGCGATGTTTGTTGAGAATCACTCAGTCTTCAAACGTTTGGGCGCGGTTTGCTTTGGTTGGCTCGGGGGCAGCATCTGGTACTCACTGGATCTTGCACAAGCCACCTTGTGAGGACCTGCAAATCCCTGTTGCCAAAGTGGCTCACTTCTAGCTTTACACTTTACAAAAGTTCGCAGGTATGAACTACCAAAAGAATTAGCGAAGTACAAAATGCCCCTCCCAGCACAGCACCAACGTGTCGGAAAAATGCTTGAGGCAAATTGGGTATAACTCACTGAAATAATGGAGAGTCAAATATGTCGATGAAACGCATGAAGACTTCGGAGTCCACGATAATAGCGTGATTATCGTTGATCAATGAATTTTCGCCTTCATTAGATTCCTTCCCAATTTGTTGATTCCTAAAGGTGAACAAGGTTCACAATTGTGAAGGCCACATGAGAGATCATCTCGAAGGTATCGTTCCACAGTGCGCTAAAATTATTGATACTTGTCATTTCTTTTAAAGGGAAGGGGACTAATATTCCATAGTAAAAGGACTAAACAGTAGCGCAAACCCTCAAGCATCTATTCTTGATCTTAAAGTTTGTGGAGAACACGAGGCGATCGACAATTCCACTTTGTTTCACATTCAATTCCATGGTTCAATTACTGACTGAAATCTTAACAATAAAGCAAGGAAATATTTGATAGCCTATTGCAAAAAAACATGAACACAGATGACATGACAAAGCAATTTCGATAACAAACTTTAAAAATTCAAAAATAATCTTGTATAGCGAAATAGGCTCGCGGTCGCGTCGCGATGACTTCTCGGAGCGCAAAATCTGCTCAACTATCAAATATGGTACCTTGCAACGACATCGGCGATTGAAAAACTGCGAAGCCGCTATCCCCCTTTCCTTCAGCACCAACAAATGAACTTGATCTACGCAGGTATAGCTATAGTTTATTTGCTATAGTTTCTAAATAATGCGCGCACAATTTTCATTGTTGTGTCCTTGCGTCAAG